TTAATAAGCACGTGTAGTTTTTTTACATTCATATATGTTATCATCAAAACCTTTATTGGTTTTAAAAAAATCACTTCATTCCAATCTCACGGAATTGCAGTATTATTTTTTATGATGCTCCATTTATAAAGAGGCTTTAGCTGAGCATGGAGAAAATGAGCTATCCTTGGTCCTGAATTGCATTTGTACTAGACATTTAGTGTGCAAGACCATTGATTACAGCTATGGTAAGAGGTGTTCAAAGTTTTATCCTGTTTCCTGCTGTCATTAGATTCCTTTATTTATTTAGATTTTACCCTTAGGGTATAAGGCATACTGCACAATGCTATTTGCAGGCCCATTAAGAGCAAGTGTGTTATTTATATAATATTTTACCTCTTAAAAGACAATTCAAAAATTATTTGCCTAACTGGGTTAATCTAAAGCAATTAGACAGTGAGAATTTCTCCTTGGAGTCTGAGAAGGAGATCAAAATATTTTAAAATTGATGTCAGTAATACTTCTTAGTGTACTGAAAGCAAACAAAGGGGTGGTTTAGAACATATAGCTGGCACATGCTTTGATAGTGCTGTGATCTAATTAGGACATCTAACACATCTGTGGGGGCTTTGGCACCCTCAGTAAGTCTTTCTTGGCTGTAAAGTATTTAAATATTCAAGCTCAGGCTGTTCCTAGAGCCATCATTTTAAGGGAGATAACGTTCTGATTTAAAAAAAAAAATATTTCTTTTTATTATTCACTTTAAACAAATTAAATCAAATAATATATATACATATATTACAAATACATATTTATTTTAACATATCTCAGTATTGAGAAGTAAATCTGACTCTATGATCAAGTTGAATTTCTCTGCCTTTAGTTGATATATGTTGTGAATTGGTGCTTTATGGATAAACTGAATTAAATAGACCTAATTACATGTAGAAAATTGTTAGAATTATAATAGGTACCTCTTTGATAATTTAACAAGAAAACCTTTACAAACAATAGACATAAAGCATATGTACAGTATTTGGGTGGTTATTTTATCTATAGACAATATCTAAATCAAGTAGAAAATATAAAAAATTTGAGAAACAAATAATAGCTTTTTTTTTTGAAAAATAATGTAGTAGTATCACAGAAATGTATTGAAATCGAGGTGTTTAAATCAACAATATGAAGTGCGAAACAATTTTCTTGCTTTAGCCAATCAGCTTAAAAACCTCCCTGTTAAATTTCACTTCAAGTAGGCAAGAATGAGAGATTTAGTCTATGAAACTTCCCAGAGAAACTAAACATTCTCCATTAAAAAGTTTCTATAGTTCTTGTTGAAGGTAAGATCTTGATGTCTGTTTTTGTTTACAGGTATGCTATTGGAGTATATAATCAATTAAGGCTGCTGTGCATACATTTGATCATTTTAACCGTGTTGCTGTCGCTCAGCCACCTCCTCCCATCGGAAAGCTGTGAGTTACAGAACCCATTCCTCCACTCACCCTCCCCGGATAGGTTATCCATACCTGGCTATAAGCAGGGCAGCAACAGCGCAGGTTTCTTTAGCTTCATCTAGTCTTAATCAGTTTCCTCTTTCCTCCCGCAGAACTCTGAACACTGACGTTCCGAACCTTGTCTGTGGCCCCTGTTCTGAACTGACCATATTTTTGTGTAGTCTAATAATCATCTTAAACTGCTTCTGTTTTCCCCCGTCTGTGTCTGCATGTGGGACAAATACCTTAAAACCATGACATTAAATGTATCCTTACACATTTCCTCTTTTTACATTTTGCTATGTTGAATTGTGTCAGATCATAAAACTATTTTCATAACAGACCAAATGAAAACTCCATCAATACAAGCACAAATTTTCAAATAATTATTTCAAGTGTAATACAAGATTGTAAAGGTGACATGTCATTGACAAAGTAATAATGACTAAAATGTTTATATACAACCATGTAAAAGACATTGCCTGCTGTTTCCCACTGAGGCTGACATGACAATTAGGTCAGGAGATACATGTGTTTTTCACATTAGGGATAAGTGGATTGGATGTTTTGCCCTACTTCAAAGTAATCATGATTTGAAGACTCAAGTTTGTATTTATTCAAGTTATTTTTGTCTGATATTATACTTTTAACTACAGTATGATAAAAAATACAACAGCAGAATAAACCAGGTACAGTCACAACTACTTATAGAAAGCATTGTACAAATGATAACAGTCCTAAAAAGTGGTATATTTGTTTTTATTATTGCTCCTCCACCCAGTAAGATAAGCAGTGGCAAACATATTGGCCGCCTCTTTGGAAACTTGCGCTATGGGTGACTTTGTTCTTAACTAAGATTGACACAATTTTAAAACATCATAACAATCATAAAATCCAAAACTTAAATAATTAAAATAAAAAAATAATTTGAGCAATCACACTTTTTTTTTTCATTTCTTTGCAGAGTTATTAATGTAGGGCACCTCATTTTTCAAACAAATCTGCATTAATACTATTTTTTTTTATTTTCCTTACCAATAAAACATATAAGTTGATCATGAAAGATTAGAAATATATTGAAGAGGCTCTACACAATTTATCATTGTTTTAAATGTTCCCACCTGTTATGCCTATGTAAAATCAGGGAAAGCTAAGTCATGTTAGCTCTATAAAGCCTCAATATCTAATCATCTACTCAAAAAGTCAATATATACAAAGGTAAACACATGTCCATGCCACAGGTATTATCCGTGTGTTAAGTAAATACAAATGCAATATTTAAACTGTACTTAGAGCCTTAGAAGAGAAAGTAAAGGATTTTAAGATACAAAATGTTAGAGCTCATAAAGTTGAACTAAAATCCCTCTGTGTGTTCATAATCTGAAAGCAAATAAGCAGTCATTTTTAGACATAATGTCATGAAGCGAACTGTGCATCAAACCCAGACGCCTGATCACATTTCAAATGAAAAGCCATTGTTGAGAGCAGCACAGTTAATTAACGCAAGGGCACGACTCTACATCTGTCACATCCCTTGGCAGTGACTTTAATTATATATTTTGGTCAATCTGTTCTTCCTGATGTGAGAGGGTAGGCCATACATGAGACGACATCTGCTGAGGTATGTCATATGAGCTCTAGCATCTGCCCGTGTTTTCGCGCTCTCTGTCAATCACTTCAACCATTCCTAATCCATGTCTCTGTTTATGAAGTTGAAAAACTTAATGCGCGGCACTGTCAAAAGCTGAGAGCTTACAGCTGTTCAACAGCCACAATTAGTGTTTTTCCAACTAAGGAGTAAGCTGACACACAAACCATCGAGATTGGCACTACACACAAAAAAAAAGACACACCCTGTGGCTTGCAGTCATTTTGGTCCCTTTTGCTGTCCGTCAAACAGACAGTGGTGACTCTTCTCCAAACTGACTCCACCCACCAAAAGGCTTATGATCACCTAAGCTGTCAGCTAGCATCTGCTGCAACCACCACCCAGTCAACTGTGAGGCTGGTATTGAAGATTTCTCCACAGAAAACTTGTCACCTACACATGTTCAGAACTCAGTGCCATGTTTTCCCCTTCTATTTTTACTAATTTCTTTTCTTTTTTTGTCCATGTGGCAAACATTATCTCCAAAGCCTCAGAGGGTGTCACACTGTTTTGTACCTGTGACACTGCAACGTGGGAAGCTTCTTGAAAGCTTCTGTCATCTTGTGTTGGGTGAAAATAAATCATTGTCAAACATTTTTCAAATAATCACCATCCTTTAATAGAAAATGCACTGTGGCGACATGAATACAGCACTGCTAGATCTAGTTGTTTGATTCTTTAAAGTATTGCTCGGTGTAGTTCAGAGATGTCAGTCATGTTAGGTTGCTAATTATACTCTATCTGCAGTTGTGGTTGTTTATGCAAAAGGCCCTATGCTATGCTGTCTTTTGAGGCAAGGCATCTTTGAAGTTAGATGATTTTGGTTTTCTATATTTTTTATATGAAAATATAGTTCAGTACTATATAAACCCTGAGAATGAAAGGGGTGTCATAAACATAGAAATAAAATCAAGACATCTGGACAAGTGTAATCATTATACAACATACTGTAATTTTCAACGATATAAGATGTCTGCCTCATTTTTATTATAAAATGCTGATTTGCATACAATGTATACACTCTTACTTGCCTAGTCCATCATATACTGTACATTCAGACAACTGCAAATGACACAGAAACCTAAAGACACACTAGTTTCCAATCCCTAGACTCCATTTTTTTCCTGTTTGTAATCCCCTCTGAGTCTATTAATATTTTCTGTTTCCATGGCAATTTGAGTCTTGCCAAATGTTGTCAAGATAAGAGAAGATAAGAGCATAAGGAGCAGGGAGATAAGAGCAAGTGACCTGTGGAGATCCAGAGCACTGGAGGTCGGGTGCAAGAGGAGAAGTGAGTAACAGAAAAAATGGACCTTGCCTGCTCAATTCTGCTGTCAATTTGATGGAAAAAAAAACTTGAAAGGTCTTGCCATTCTCTATATGTCCAGGAAATGAACAAAAAGTCTATTTTCACTTTTGAATTCTCACAGGGAATTTGCAATGTAGCCAAATACCATAACCCTAGAGGTATCAGCCAACATTTGAAATCTTTGATATATTTTTTCTTATTACGGTAATCAGGCATACTGTTATCAGTATGACAATATTGAACATTAGTTATCTCATTAATTTAGAAATTAAACTGGTCTCAAGTGTAGGAAATTGAGAACAAAAGGAAATAATGGTAACAAATCTGAAAGACTTACTGTCCAAAGTGATGATACTAATAGAATGTTTGCCAAATGTATCATCGGTATTTCTTCAACTTCAGATCATACTTTCCCTTAAGGAAATAAAAATAAATGCAAGGGCGGAATTCATAATGTAAATTTGTTGGTGCTATTTACCTAATCCTTATCAGTTACCCCCCAAAAAAACATCAACACACAAACACTTACTCCTTCAATGGAACACTTAAAAAGTAGACCAGCATTATTTACCTGTTTGTTGCTATACTTGGGTTGGCTGGTCTTGTAGCTGTAATCTGAGTACTGGTCTGAGCCGGTAGAGTTGTCATCTCCTCCAGTTCCGACAAAAGTGTTGGCTGCTGGGAGGTCCTGCACAGCCTGGTGCTTCTGAGAAGCTGAGGGAGATTGGGCTTGCAGTTGAATTGAAGGTAAGGGAGAGTTGGAGCGGTAATGTCTGCCGATATCTGGGCTTCCTGGTGAATATGTTAAGGGCAGGTGTATCCGGGGGCTATCATTGACTCCATCAAGGTTGAACTTCAGACCCTTTTGAAGGCCAACCTCTTCATTTTCTCCAAGGGGCTTTGGGGACTTCGGGGGCTTGCCTTTTCTGCCTCGTTTACCTTTGGCATTCTTTGGTGCCTGCTTGGGGGCATACAGATCCTTTGTTTCTTTTTTACCTGCCTGATAGCCACTCTTTGTTTCTCTCTGAATGCGGTGGCGGATAAAGACTACAACCAAGATCAACATCACAACTCCTGCCACACCGGCAAGGCTGCCAAACAAAATGTTACTGCGATGTGCAGCAAAACCACTGTCAGGATCACCAGCAATGTCCCTGTCTAGTGGAGTATAAAGACTGTGTCCAACCAGGGATTCCACTAAGCTGACATTTGAAATTGTTTCATTGACATAGATGTGAACCAGGGCAGTAGCATGGCGTGAAGGCTTTCCCCTGTCACTTACACGCACTACTAGACGATGCAGTCCCCCATGTTTGCGGGTCATCTCCTTTGCTAGAGTAATCTCTCCAGTTGTGGGAGAGATGCGGAATAATTGGTAAGGATTTCCTCCAGCAATATTGAAGACTAGCTCTGCATTCGGTCCACTGTCCAGGTCTTCAGCCTCCACCACTTCAACATGGCTGTCTGGGGATGCTAGAGGTGATAACTGCCTGAAGGAAGAATTGGAGGGCTTTGTAATAACAGGGTCATTGTCATTTTCATCCAGTACATTAATGGTGACACCAACATAAGAAGACTTGGGCGGTTCTCCCCCATCCACAGCCTTTAAACGGAAAGTATAGCTACTTTCTTTTTCTCTGTCAAATGAGATGCTTGAAAGAATAGTACCTGTTCCATTCTGAACAACAAACTTCCCCCCATCAGGTTCTACAGAGAGGTGAACTTGAGCATTCTCACCTTTGTCCATATCTTGAACTGTCACCATACCGACAGGACTCAGGGGAGGCATGTTTTCCAATACTGAAAAGCTGTAGCCACTAAGCATGAACTTTGGCTCATTGTCATTGCGATCAAGAACTTTTACCACAACTGTTGCTGTTCCCTTGTGAACAGGCGATCCTTTATCTGCAGCTGTGACTCGAAACTCATACCGCTCATTATTTTCACGATCCAGTGGGCTTCGAGCTCTTACTTCCCCTGAGTTGGGGTCGATCTCAAACAAAGCTTTAATGGTTGAGTCCGCCACAATGTTATACAAGAGTTGGGCATTTGTGCCACTGTCAGCATCTGTAGCAGTGACATCTAAAATCCTCTCACCTGGTTGGTTTTCTTCAGCAAAGTCTACCTCAAACAATGTTGGGGAGAATATTGGTGAGTTGTCATTCACATCGGTCACCTGCACTTTTAGGGAGTTTGTACTGGATAGTGCTGGGTTTCCCGAATCCACCGCAACAATTTCTACTCTGTAGTCCCTGACTCTCTCAAAGTCAAGTGGTGTAGTTGTCTGAAGAAAGTATTTTCTTTTGTTGTCAGTGGGAGAGTCACTGGCAGGGCGAAGTTGAAAGGGAACATCTCCTGCAACCACGCAAGTAACCACAGCATTCTCTCCTTCGTCTTTGTCAGAAACCTGGACCAAAGCAACAGCTGTCCCCACTGGCATGTCCTCTGAAATATTGGCCACTCCTTCACTGTGAGTCACAAGACCAATTCCACGAATTTCCACTGCGGGAGCATTGTCATTTTGATCAGTCACCTCAATAGTTACGAACGTCTTAGAGCTCTTAGGTTGAGGACCTTTATCTCTTGCCACCACATAGAAAGACAAGCTGCTGATTTCCTCTCTGTCCAGAGGTCCTTTGACATAGATAATGCCAGTAGATCGATCAATTCGTAAGAGTTTTGGCACTGGGTCGACTGCTTGGTGAATGGTGTATTCAATTTCTCCATTAGGGCCCATGTCAGAGTCATTTGCTTTGACCTATAATGGAAACAGAACAAGCGGTTAAAGGCTTAAATCACAAGCAACAAATGTTGGTGGATTTAAAAGGAAACTGGTGTTATTTTTTATTATTTAAGTTTATATTTAAATAACAAACTAATCAAACTGAGTAAATCAAAGCAAGCATGATAACATAGTTTACTTTGATTTACTAATTTTTTTTTAGAAGCACAAAATGTGCATTTCATTCATTTTTTTTTTCTCAATGACTCCCCACTTTAAATTTGATGGTTGTGTTACTGTAGCTATTCTATGTCTATCTCTTTATCTATATCAATAGGGAGACATATGGTAACATATTAGAGCAACATTTTTTCTTTATAGAAATCAGATTAAAGACTTCAAAGTAATATATATAGAGAATGCTGCACAGAACATCTTACACCTACACTATGACAATGTTACTATCCCTCTTTTCTTTTTCTGACATTATAACACCAAAGCAAGCAATAAGAAGCGTTTTTAACCATCAAAGTATACTGTGTTAAAGCTTTCCTACAGTACGTGTAATACTGTTTTTTTTTAACAAGTTTAAGGATGGTGAGACCTTATAGCAAGTCAGAAAAAGAACTGTTTAGAAGAACCTGAAAAACCTTATCTCAGTATGAAGAAATACTATATTTCAGAAAATAAATAAGTCATTTTTCACTAAGAAGCCAGCAAAACACATACAGCAACAAACTATTAACCGCCTACTTTTATATAAGTACAGCCTAATAAAGTTAAGAACCAAGGGTGGAATTAGCTGGATTTTTGAACTAATCTTTTTTGTAAAGGATATATATATATATATATATATATATATACTTTATTTTCCAGGTGATATCATATATATATATATATATATACTTAATTTTCCAGGTGAGGATAAAATATCCTCAGCAAAGTCTTAAAGAGTCTGGACCGCAGGGAGTCCTATTCATGACCCAGAATTTTCTATGATGCAGCCATGGTGGTATAATGGATGGAGTATGTGATTTAGCACTATCACCCTGAAATACCTCTGAATATTAGACTTCTGAATATTGTTTTTGTATTAAGTGTGGTTTTAGATGTAAGCTGCCAATACAATAATTACTGATGTCTCTCCATACTATCGTAGTCAAGCTTTTCAACAATGTGCTGATTGCCGATTAAATGATTCATTTCCTTTCTTTTTTATGATGGGCATGGCATCTGCACTTATTATGAAATTATTAAACATTTTAAGTCATCTGATCATCAAAGAGTATTTTATTTTCACTCAATCATCTTTAAAACATCATCTCTGTTTAGAGAAGGACTCAGCATATCTTAAAATTTTCAAACGTGTTTTTTTCTGCAATTGATGGACAGGCCTCCAATTAATCTTGATTATTAGCTTATGTACATTTCACCAGATTCTTGAACTCTTTAAACTCTATGAACTGTAAATGGTGGGGTAGTTAATGTATTACTGATAATCGAAGAATATTTAAATATTTTTACAATGCTTAATTGCCTCTGCCATCTTTAAGAGCAATTCCCCCTCCTTAAGATGCTTTTTTTATGCCAAGCCATCTTACTGACTGGTTTAAAGAGTATAAAAGTTGATAAAATGTTAAGTTTTGTTTGTGTGCTTTAAAGTTCTTAAAATGAAACATCAGAGAGGATGGAGAGCTTCCTACAGCTGTACGGATTATATAATCTAGCGATGTCCCCTATTTGTGTCATAACACTGCTAGTTAGCTGAATAAAAAAAAAAAAAAAAAAAAAAAACAGCTTCTACACTTTCTGTCATTTAAAGCTTTGAAAATACTTGATGAAAAAAAATGATAAGAAGTACCGCACATCAATGTTTTGTCTTTTAAATTTCAGTTTGAATGATATCAGGCTAAAGCCTGTTAACCTGCCAACTGCATGCAAACCACTACAGTAGATTGCCTGACTAATATACAAGTAAAGATTATCTCTGTGAATAACGGAATCGCAAAAAATACTATTCTGAGCAATACACACCAGCAATAAAATAAATCAGTTATTTATTCTGTATTTTGCATTTCTATGTATAAGTGGTGATAGCATTATTACAATTACAAATACACAGCTTAAGATGCAGTAGCCGAAAATGTTCTACAGTTTAAATATGAATGATTTCATCATCATACACAGTTAAAAATTTTTATGATTTCAAACTTTGTGCTAAAGTTATGATATCATGGTGATATTAAATCAATCCATTCCTACATAACACTTTCAGTAAGTTCGTTTTAAAACAGAATATCTTTTGTACATCTAACTCTCATTAAAATGTGGCTTTATCAGAGTAGAAAATAATTGTGTCCTGTTTGGAGAAAAAACAAACAAAAGAAAAATTAAGACAAATATAAGCAATTCACATTTTAAAACACATATTTTTAACAACCTCACCTGTAACACAGAGTGCCCCACCGGACTGTTTTCTGAAACTTCTGCATCATATGAGGATTTTTCAAACTTGGGCAAGTTATCATTAGCATCGGTCACAACCACTCTGAGCAGAGCACTGCTGTAGCGCTGAGGGTTTCCTCCATCCACTGCCTTGATAGTGAGGTCATAAGAATCCTTTAACTCACGGTCCAAATTGCCTAGGACGATGAGTTGTGGGAGTTTCCCTCCCCTGTCATCAGCCACTTGTAAACCAAATAGGGTTGCTGCATCTGGGCCTGCAGTCAGCGCATAGTCAGCCACTCCATTCCTCTCAGAATCCCTGTCAGTGGCTAAAGGTATGGAGAATAATGCCCCCATGATTGTGTTCTCAGGTACTGAGATGGTGAGCACAGAAGAGGGAAATTGCGGGGTGTTGTCATTGATGTCCTGTACTTCAATGCGTCCTTCAATAAGTCGTGGGCTCTGGTTCTGTATCAGATCGGTTACTGACACTTCAAATTCCAAATAGCATGGCTTGCCTTTAGCAAGGGAACGGCAGTCCCGGAGGGTCTCTCTGTCTATTGGAATCTCTGTAGTGAAAATGTCTCCTGTCTTCCCATCAACTCGAAGGTAAGGGGCGCCCACCTCTAACTTGTAGAGGTGACCTGAATCTGGCAGCCCCTGGTCTGCTGCCAGGCTGCCTATGAGAGTGTTGGGGGGCTGCTCCTCCTGGACTCGATAGAGGATACTGCCGTCGGCAGAGCCAAAGTGCAGCGCCACGACCCAAAACAGTACTGCTTGTAAATTCAGTTCCATTAGGTCATCAGAAGATCTGCCTGTAAAAATAAAGAGAGAAGATAAATTGGGTCAATATGATGAAGATAATGATGCTAATGAAAACAAATCCTCTTAGAAAATCGTTCTTCAGCATTCTCCTTTAGCAAGTTCCCGGCTAGAGCAAGTTTCACAGGAAATAATTATGTATTTTATCTAAGAGTAAAACCATAGGGCACATATCCACAGCTCTTGTACTTCAGAATCCAATATTTAGTCAGCAGGGAAAAATCATTACATTGTGATCTGGTTGCTCTATGTCTGTAAAGTTATTTATTTCTTGTTAATACTTTGTAGAAACCTAAGCCAAGCTAGAGGCGATGGTAAAAAAAAAAAAAGCTGTACTTTTTTATTTAAAAAAGCAATAATACCCACATACCACAATGGTTCTGTTTCCATCCCAAAGCTTCAAGAGCTTGAATGAATATTTCAGCTTTATGAATTTTATGTAGAAATTAATGACAGAACATGAAATTAAATCTTACAAGCCCACATATAAAACAAACTGAAAGGCCAGTGTGGATTGTTTCAGCTGAATAATCAAATAAAATTGTAATACGAAAACTCACAACCAGAGAGACTCATTATTTCTGTATTATACCATTAGACATTGAGTGGGGGAGCTGTGTGAGCTATCCGTGTGTGTGTGTGTGTGTGTGTGCGTGTGTACGTTTGTGTGTTATGGGTAATTGAAATAGGAGCAAATCACTGAGGTTAAGCATCACGGTCTGGTGCTTAGAAAAACTTAATGGTGGAAACGTTTTTAAACTTTTTTTTCATTTGCAGTGCATCAGGGGAGCACACTACCAGCGCTTATCATGTATTGCTGATGTTGGCGTCTTCAGTGCCTGCTGTAAACCTACAGTATGTTTGTGTTACTGACGCGCTGCTTGAATATACAAATCAATACTGGCTCTTATGGCTCAGGGATTAGTCAGGCTAGACCAATCCATAGTCAATTCTGCTTTTTGGCCACTCTCTTAACAGAATAATTTAATTTCCTTCTTTTTAGTAGAGTTGCTGAAATAAGAAAAACCAAATGTTGAATGGCCTGTTTAAAATTATATGTCATGAAATCTTCTAAGTAAGAAAATCTAAATATTTAAAAGGCTGATAATAGAATAACTTACATCTACCTTTTACATTGTTTTTTAAGCAGATACAGAAACAAAAATGTGGTAGGTAAGTTTTACCCCTCCACACACACACACATTCTTGTTTTTGAGACCTATGGGGACATATCATTGAATTACATTCATTTTATATGGCCTAACTCAGATCCTTACCCTAACCCTAATTATTACCAACATATACCTAACCCTAACCCTTACCTGACATGAATTCACACTGTAGTCCTAAACCTAACCCTGGTTCAAAGAACAGAACTTTACAATATGCGGACCAGGATTTTGTTCCCCATAAGGACAGAAGTCCCCATGACGTAAGTGTCTAAACAGATTAAAGTCGCAACACGGTCATAAAACCAAGTCCACTTGAACACACACAAACATGCTGTAGACTGTAAGCAAACTACTGGAAAAAAAAATAAATGCATTTTGTTGTCGAAAAGACAAAAAGAAAAAAAAATGGTGTTGTAGCTTATTGATGACACAGTAAGAATGTGGCACTTTTGCCCTTAAGATCCTTTGCACAGGAAATGTCTTCCCACAAAGATAGTGAGGTCGGATTTCTCATCACAACCTGTGTCTCTCCCTCGGAAGTACTTGAGGGAGGAAATAAAGAAAGGAGAAAAAGAAATACGAGGGAAGGGGACACCAGACAGTTCATGCCTCAACTACTTTAGATAGCTTGGACAGTGGTAAACAGTCAGACATGGCAACAGCAGGTGTCTTTTATCAGCAGTTCATCAAGAAAAAAAAATGCTTTCTTTAACCGACGATCACTTGTATAATTTGTAATGCTTATTCTTCTCTGTGTCTGAGCTGAATGAATTATAGAACGTTAGACTGTAGAAATAGTCCATTCAGTTCAAGTCAATTTAAGACACATTTACATATATTAAATGTAGAATCTTGTGACAAATTTCAATATTTTTGGTTGCCTTTTTTTAGAGAGTGAAACTCATGTCAGGCTTAAGCCAGCACATTTGCCAGCACACTGTGCACAGATGAATCCTTCTTGAGGACTACAGGCACCTTACAAGGACTGCACTGAAAAAAGTCACTTTTTGGTGCAGTAAACTCTATTAAAGTATTCGTCATAATTTCTACTCTGTATTTTAAGCATCAGTAAAAACTAAAGTTTCTCAAGTAAAATTAAACATTTTTTTTAATGTTATACATGAACTTTGGGGAAACAGTAAATTTTACTTAGATGTCCTTATACTATTTAAATGTTTAATAGCACTATGTACATATACCTAAAAATACTACATAAACTTTACTCTAAAAATGTAGCCTTTTGAAACCCACGCATGGCGCATGTGTACTGTAGCTCACAGCAGGACTGATTCTGCTGCGAGTCCAGACGTTACATGATCACACACAGGGCAAGAGGTAGTCCCAATGACAGTCATTCTGGCAGGGTGCAACAGTGCTGCAAAAGCCTGCTCGCTGCTCATGGGACTGATATATGCCCTGAACTTGGCATACCCTCCCCTGTTACGCTACACTATTGAAGTCTTTCAAAACCTTTACTGGAATTTGATGGATTTAAACTGTCCACAAAATTAAACATCCTGAAGTTGAAGCTGCTTTCCTAAATGCATTCATGACTTTGTCATTTTAGGGTAGGAAAATGTGGCATCAAAAGCCAAGAATTAGCAGTGGGTTCCAGTTAATCTTAGTGGAAGGCTGTCTGTCATTAATGTTTTTTATTTTTTGCCAAAAAAGGTATATGTTATTTGGCAAAAAATAACAACAGATATCCTTATTCAAATATCTAGTATTGTATTGTTCATTGAGAATGGTTAGACAGTTTAAGCTGTTAATATTTAATTGTGTTGATTTTATCCAGTAGTCTGGATGACTGGTTTTAATGTTGAAATTGCACAGTTTCACTGTGTAGGTTTGTAAGAGTTCTATCACATATTTCAGTAGTGACTAAATTACCACATCTGTGTTGGATGTGGTGCATATCAAATACTGTGTTTTTGTTGTTTACATACATACCAACCTTATCTTTTTTCAGTACACATTCTAATGCAGTACAACATAATGCACTTTTACTATTAATGCTATATTTGTACATGCATTTTTTTCTTTTAAATAGAGGCATACATAATCTTTAGACCACTCATCAAGGTTTAAGTGGCTGTTTCTGTACTGACCCTCACCCAGAAGTTGTTTTGAGCATAATTGTGTAAGTTAAATAATCTTGATTTTACATATGAGGAAATTTTTCTAATTGATCTTTAAACTCTCAGTTGCATATTTGAAAAGTATGATTCCAGTTAGAGGACTGCTCACTGTCAAAGTGGTTAGCACAGCTGCCTTGCAGCAAGAAGGTTCCGGGTTTGATTCCCGGTCGAGGGTCTTTCTGCATAGAGTTTGTATGTTCTCCCTGTAGATGCATGGGTTATCTCAGGGTGCTCTGGGTTTCTCCCACAGTCCCAAAACATCACTGTTAGATTAATTGGCTTCTCTAAATTCTCCTTAGGTGTGAGTGTGTGTGTGAATGGTTGTTTGTCCTGTTTTTCTCTTTGTTGCCCTGTGATAGACTGGTGACCAATCCAGGGTGTACCTCGTCTCTCGCACATAGACATCTGGAGATAGGCACCAGCATCCCTCGTGAACCCAACTGGGATTAAGCCTGATAGAAAATGGATGGATAGTCAAATTTCTGGCTGGCCCATGAAAGATTGGGCAATTTAATACTATAGGGCAGGGGTGCTCAAGTCCAGTCCTCAAGAGCTACCGTCCTGTAACTGTTAGATGCAGCTCTTCTGTGACACACCCTCATTTAGCCCAGCAGTGGCATGGTAACGAGCCACTCATTTGACTCAGGTGTGTTAAAAATGGGGTGCATCAAAAAGTTGCAGGAGACTAGCTCTTGAGGACTGGACTTGAGCACCCCTGCTAATAGGGTATTTACTTCTTTGTTAAACAGTTTAAAACGAAAAATAAAGTATATAATGTATATTAAATGTATAGACTATTGGTTCAATTAATTTGGTATCAATTACCAAAAGAAAGCTGGCAATGATTAACTAATATTGGTGAATAATGTAACATAATGCAACAAAGTAAATCAATATGTCAAGCACAAGAAAATAATTGATATCTACTTAAGTACTTCATAACAGCAAATACTACAGGGATATAAGATTTACTTAAAACTTTGAGAAAAATGTTTGTGCCTATGAAAAACAAGTGCGCTTTACTTAATTTGCTTAAATAAATCCAACTTGGATTTAATAAAATAAGTGTTATTTAATATCTTCACAACTGTTATGTCCAATGGAAAGTAGAATACACATGATAGTGGCAACTGAGTGTTACTTGATATTGCAGCATAAAATTTTACTTAAATCATTTGAGTGCAAATACTTAATATATATTTTTTTAGTTGTTTTTTTTCAGTGTACTGAGAGAAAGAGGCAGACTGTTTCTCAGTGGTTCAAAGTCCTTTTTTAAGATTACGCTAAATCTGCCACTTTATTTAGAAATCAACACAGTCTGGCACAGAATCCGTATTGCTTTAAGTCCAGTATGAGGGTTTAAGAGTCAGTGTTGATTTAAGGCATTATGTTATCTGGCCTTGTTCATCCATTTTTTTTTTCTGAAGACCAAAGTTATTGCAGACACTGTTTAGGACATTTTATAACCTTTTAAGGTTTCCCTTATCTAAAAAGCTTTACAGATATACAGATTTATATTTTGCCTGCACACATCCAAAGGTGAAAAAAAGCTACTTTAGTAGCTGTCTTACTGTGTTTGATTTGACAACAGACTGACCTGGCCTAAATCTCACGGAAAAGCTTTTAGGTATTGTCGGGAGGAGGATGAGAGACACCAGATCCAAAAAATGCAAATGACCTGAA